CGGCTCCACAGTGTATTGGGGTTTATTTATTCACGTTTTAGGAACCCACCTTACCCTCCGGCTTGTCCGGGCTTGGGCAGTTGCAGCCCAGTTGCCATCAGGCTCCGCAGCTGCAATCTCAGGCACTGGGTGTAAAGGGGTTCCGGGATTTCACCAGCCCTGCGGGGTGTCAGCAGCGATAAATGCTGCTTATCACCAGCGGGCAGGTTTGTGGCTGCGGCAGGACGGAGCCGCTGCTGTGGCGAGCTTCGTTTTCCCCTCCTTCCCACAAAGGGCTCTTCAGCAAACAGGGGGGACTGAGGAGTAGTGTCAGGAGGAAGAACCGACGGTCAAAGAGATGTGTGAACACATGGGTGTGTTTTTGGAAAGGCCTTTGAAGACTCAGTAATTATTCTTTTCAACGTAGGCTCTTGTGTGCTGTGTATCTGTTGTCCTGCTTCCGGGGCGAGTGGTGAATCGTGTGCTTGGCAAATAAGTGCACTAAGTTGTTCGGGTTTGTTGGTGTTATCCGGGATGTGAGGAGGGGAGGTCTGCACCGGCATCACCTCCTACATACAGACATATATGTGTGTGCCTGTGCGTGCTGTGGAAGGGACAGGAGGTTGTCTTTGTCTTTCCCAGTGTATATAAAGCTGAAACAATCCTTGTGAGGGGCTGGATAAACCATCTGGCCTCTTAGAGCAACGCTGGAAAGTCAGACTAAAAGGTTTTGAGAAATAAAGGGATTTATAAGTTGTTGTTTCCCATGGTTAGTATTTTGGTTTCCTTCAGAATGAAGCCTGGAGGTAGAGGGAAAAGTTCCTTTCGCTGTGTGGGTTCTTTGCCTTGTTTCACTTTGATTTTTTTTTTTGTGGATTTCTGCCACTCAGAAATACTCTGACAGTCAGTATTGCGTTGGTAGAGTTGTACTGATTGGGAATTAAGGGGTTTAAAATCCGCTGGTAGATGGGAAGATGTGTGCAGTTTGGAGCTTTTATAGTGCAGTATGAGTACAGACAAGGAGTTGCTTCTCCCCACACTCCTGCATTTGGACTGAAGCTGTTGGCTGTTTGGTTTGGGTTTTGCCTTTTTTTTAAGCTCCATATTTAAAATACTTATAAGAATTTACAGGGTTATATTACTACTTTAAGAGTCCTGTTGCAGGGTAATTGCTTTGTTTTCCTTATACTCATTTTATTTGTGCATTGTACACATATATTACACTTCTTGTTGCATGAACCTAGATGCTGAAGTGCTTCTGCTTTTGAGAACCACAGAAATACCTGCAGGTGCATTAAACCCTTGTGGAAATAACAAGGACTAAGAAGCTCTATAGAAACAGCATGCTTGATAATAGTCCACTAATCTATATATTTAAACATCTGGGGTCATAAAAGTTCCCATTGTCTGCAGAGTCATTTTAGAGCATACAGTCAGCCTGCTATAAATGTTCTTTTAGCCCCCAAGTAGTGTATTGCTCCTTTCAGATGGCTTAATTTATCATGCCAAGACTTTTTTTTTTCCCCTCTAAAAAAATGGAAGCTATTCTAATTTTGTCTGGTTAATAATAATTTTGTCTGTTCTTAGTCCTCCTCTCAGAGCTGTTATTTGGAGATAACTGGAATTAAAATGTTTTCTTTAGAAGAAAGTTAATTCCGTTGCTTCTATCACGACGTGGTTACGAAGTTCAGTGGTTTTCTGTGGTGCTTCAGGTGACCTCAGAGACACCTGTGCCTCAGCATTTCTTTTGCATTGTAGTTTAGAACTAAAGCTCCTGTTGCTTGAATAAGTTGATGGGGTTTATGTATGTGGCTGATTTTGGCAGTTGCACAGTTAAGTGAGTGAGGGCCCTGATGAACCCAAGCTGCGTGTACAGAGCACTGTGCTGCAGGAGCTTTGCTTTGCTGCTTTAACTACCTCTTCTTCCAGTGCCCTCCAATTAGCTTCAGGGGTTCTTGTCAATTGTTTTCTTTTCAACAGAGACGTATAAATAAGTCAGGAGCTCTGAAGAAAGGGATAAATATTTAATAGTCTGGTCTTTATTTGCCTCCAACAGGCAGTGGTACCTTGCTATGCCTGTTCAGGTTCCATTACATTTTGTTCTTGTTGACTGGATTCCCCAACAAGAAGGGAAAGCATGAAGCTACAAACACTTTTCCATACTTGTGAGCTTTTCAGAAGTAACTTTTTATAGTTCATCATTCCAACTAGATGAAGAATGGTGTATTTTTATGATGCCTACAATTGCTGTACTCGTAGGTCTGGCTTAGAACAAACACTCTGCCCCATCCCTGGCAGCGTTCAAGGCCAGGCTGGACAGGGCTTGGAGCAGCCTGGTCTAGTGGAAGGTGGCAGGGGGTTGGAACTGGATGAGCTTTAAGGTCCCTCCAACCCAAACCACTCTGGTTCTATGGTCTGCACTTGTTTTAAGGGGGTGTATTGCTGAAGGAGGCGCTCTGCACAGACAGCTATTGCCATAGGTGAAACCAAATGCAGGCAAAATACCTCTGTGATTTTCAGCCATTTGTCCTCATGATGTTAATATTTGTGTGCTAATAAGTGGATTAAAAATGACCAAAGTGAACCCCAGTCAGTTGAACAGACTTTGGCTGCAGTGTGAATTGTGTGGACCAAACCCCGTCCAGAGAAGCCCAAAACTTGTTTTGGAACGAGGTGGGATGTGTCTGCGCAGCTCTTCAGAGAGAGAAACCAAAACCTGTGGTGGTTGAGGCTGATAAGACCTGGACCTGTTGGGAAGAGTAGGTGTGTGTGAGTTGTGGAAGGAGAAACTAGCACAGAATGGTCAGGGTAAAAGAAGAAGCTTCAGTATTAGGAAGGTTCTGAGTTAGAGGATGGAATGAAGAGTAATACGGGTTGTCTTGGTGACCGTGTAACCTGCTGTCTGTACGGTGGGTAGGTGCAATTTACTCCTGGGTAAATGCATAATTTAAATTCCTTATTTTGTCTCAGTACTCCTATTACACAGCTCTTTTATATTTATAAACCAGGTTGGCTTTCAGAACTTCCTGCAGGCTTTGAAAGCCTGTCTGCAGCCACTGATGAGAGCATTTTCTCCTTCACTCTTAGGCACTTTCTTTTACATCCACCCTTGTGCTGAGGAATATTGAATATCTATAAGTGTGTTCCCTTTCATGGCATTTTGATGTAACAACTGAGACAGTGAGTGAGGTTCTTGTCTGGTGAATTACTGCTGACGTGGGTTTTTGGGAGTTGCTTACAAATGAGACTTTTAAGTTCTTTTTTGCTGTTTGGCAGCACAGCGCATGCTCTGTTTCAAAGTGAGGGCTAGCAGTTCCCGTTAGGGTTTCAGCTGAAATCTAACAGTTCTTCCTCCAGGTGCACTTTGCCCTTGATCCTGGAATGGATATTTTTGCCAAGGCACTATTTTTCTTGTCATTAGATGTACTTGAGAAAATAGCAACACAAAATAATGCAGTTTCTTAGTGTTTTAAAGGGGGCAAGAATGCCAAGGTGATGGGGTTCCATGGATAGTTTATCTCTGCAGAAAACTGTTCCTAAGCAGCTGAGAACTATTGTCTGGTGCAGGTAACGGTCTTGCTGAATCAGATGCTTCAACAGGAGATGCTTATTCATTCTGCAGTGCTTGAAGGCCTACACTGACAAACTGACCTGTTCCCAACCTGCATAGGTGCTGAAACTTGTGGGTGATGTGGATGAGTCAAAGCCATTTTAGTGCTGCTGGGGAGGATAAGATCTATTTCTTCCTAGCTTGGCAGCCTGTGATGGTGCTGGTGGGACTCTGGTGCTTTGGGGGATCCCTGTGAGGGGTGGCTTTTCGCCCTGGTGGGGTTGTGAGACCTGCAGGAGCAGGGGAAAGTGCTAACCATAGGTGAGGGGCTTTGGGAGGTGTTGCTGATGTGCAAATCGAGGTAGCTTTTCAATCATTTCTATTCACTCTAAAATGATGGACATTCACCTACCCTTGTTCTCCTCCTGCAGCTTCATGTTTCCTGTCGCAGGTGGTTTAGGCCCCCCTCAAGGTATGTATCAGCTTAATGTTTTGAGCACGAAGTTCTTTGGTTTAGATACATGAAACAACTTAAAATAGTTCTGCACCGATGCCCAGAAGTGTGATTAGAAATTCAGCTCCACAGCTGGCTTTCCCCTTGAATTCAGTGCTGGTGAGCTGACTCTCACAGCTCTATTTATAAAACTTTCTGTGCATTGTTGAAGAAGCAGCGTTACCAGAATGCTACATTAAAAGAGCTGGGAAAATGCATCTCTCCTTTTTAACCTGAGTTTGCCTTTAAGATGCTTGTGTTATTTTGAGTGTGGTATTTAACCTCTTTATGCTTCATCTACCAGCTGTGTATACCCATATTGTGTGGGTGTTGCAAGACCTGGTAAATATTTACAAAGCACAGCAAGACCCTGGGACAAGAGTCACAACCTGTGTGGAAAGTATTAATACAATAGGAGAGCCTCAGCCTTAAATTACCTTTGTTCTCATTCCTG